TCCTTCGATTCCCTGGTGTGACGGGATCCAGGTGATTATTATATGTTTGTGGTCATTAGTAAGTTCGGTATAGGTTTCCTGAATCATTTGTACGACTTCGTTCTTTTTGTTGCTATTGATGTTTGTTGTCGCGTTTATTGCAGCGAACGAATCCGTATAGATTACCGTTGATTGGTATTTGTTTTCATGGATGTGCCGTAGTCTGGATTCCTTTCTTTCAACGATTCCGAGATTTTAACAAACAAAACTTTGTGAATCACAGAGGTTAATTTTATCGACGCGCGAAGACGCGAACGAAAGTATTATATTCTTTTAAAACGTATCTCAGTCAATGATTTCCAAAAAGTTGAAGCTTGACCCTTCACTTCTTCATTTGTATTTAATTTAATTTCGACGTGTCTCTCATTTTAGATACGTGATACAGATAAATTAATTTTTATTAAGAACGAGGAGGGATATTTTATAGGGACGAACAAAAATTTTAGATTCGCAGAGATTTGCAAGCTTGATATAAAAGAAGAAAAATTACAAAATTATAAATTCGTAAGCAACCGCGTGTAATTTAAATAACCAGGGATGCATAAATATCATGGCCAATAATTTAATGGATAAATACAGAGATGGGCAAGAACACGTAGAATGGAAAGCAGATTATCTGTAGTAGATGGTAGAAGATTGGAAATATGAATTCTCGAACTGGAACGAACGCGGTATCGAACCGAGCCGGATTAAATTGGTGTTTTATTTGGACGAGCGATTCTTTTAATCTGTTAACTGTAGCGTAGTTCTTTTTTAAAAATATATATCTACATTAGGCAGGTACAATTAAATGATGAGTATAGTCGTCAAATGTTGAGTAAACATTGTAAAATTGAATTAAATTACAACGAGATGGTCTTTTCTTTCTTGAAAAAATTATTTTACTGCTCAAATATTCGCTGACATGACATTTTTTTATTTAAAAAAGAAAGAAGAAAAGACAAAGATTAAATACATGGAAAGGATGATAAATTTCATCTGTTCTTGTATTTGCTCTCGTCGAAAAAATAATATACCGAATTGTTATGCGACTGAATGAACATTCCACATATTCTCTTTGCTGGAGTAATCAAATAAATATTTCAAAATGAACTTCGGAAAATTATAATGTATAATAATTGTATAATTTATTGTGCGTTTTTTTTTTATTTGATCCGTGACTTCAGGATATTGCCATGTTATTAAAGAATGATAATACCGCAAAATATCGTTGAAAAATGACAATGAAAATTAAGACTAAAATTGGAAGAATCTTTAATGCCTTCTTCCGTTATTATATTAATAAAAATTTCAATAAAAAATTTTAACTGAAAGACATCCACGAACTATTTCTCTTTAATTTTTTAACAATTCCAATGTCTTATTTCTAGTAATATTTATTACAATTTCTCCGCGACGAGTATATTCCTTAAATACAGTTCGATCTCTCGTTTCTTCCAAAAAGATGAATGGCGTCCACTAGAAAAAATCGAGGAATTTACACGAAATTCCTCGTTCTTTCACATCTGTTCCCCCCTTTTTCCTTTTTTTTCTTTTTTTTTTATTTTCACGTAAACTAGAAAAGTTCCTCGAGGAATCTTACCTTGAAGAGAATCGAGATGCCAAGGTTCATGAATGGCTTCGTGAAGTCGATCACGCTTTCGCGGGCATAATTGATTGTCATTGAACCAACCGCCAAGTCTGCTTTCTGCGGGTAGAGAAGAGTATGTTCAATTAGTCGATGGAAATAGAGGTAGTGACGTTTTCTTTTGTCAAAATTGAGGATACAATGATTCTTAAATTACGGTTAGATACATGGACCTATATACACATGTATACATATGTACAGTCAGCCTTAGAAATTTATAATACACGTCTCAATTTAAAGAGATGAAGACTTGGGATATTTTACGGATCTTAATTAATTTATTAGTTAAAATTATATCGAGTCTGGAGTATCGGCAATTCTCAATTTTCTTACATTTGTTTGAGAGAATACGTGAGTAAATCGAAAGCACGATCTTTTGGGAATTTACGTATAATTATTAGAAACAAGACGAAGCTTATTCCAATTGAAATAATTAACATAACCAGCTTACGCCAACTGAAACTGAGACTAAAATAATTGTAAATTATAAAAATTATTCTAATTTATGATTTCATACTTTTTTTCTTTTTTACCTCAATTTATGTATTTTTCCCAGTGAATAGATATATAAAACATCGTCATTTTTCTATTTTCAGTTCCCAACGAATAAAATAATATTTTATATCCCTGTCTTTCTTCAAACATTGGAAATTTATAAACGTATATAAACTTCCCCGACTGACGTGCGAACATTTCTCAAAGGACAAAAAATAGATTGTTAAATGAGTCACGACGTATGGAAGTATGGAGAATAATCGCGAAAATACGTAGATCGAAGTATCTAGCACCGTAATTCGTGAAGATACGATGAAGATGTGTGTGAGACTCTGTATGACAGTGGTGGGCACGTGTCTCCTACCTTTCTCCATGCTCTTTGACGCTTCTACGTGTGTGTCTGTGTCACCTAAATCTAATTTCCTGTGTCTAATCGAAAGCAGTGCCAGTGTTTTTGTTGAATGACGTGCAGTCGGTGCAGGATTCAAGACTCGCTACGGAAGCAAGGGTAAAACTCTAAGGAAATCTAATCGCTTTTCAAATGTAATTTACAGTTCTACTTCTACGTTAAAATCACCTCGCGTAGCTATCACCTTAAACTCGTGATTTCTACGTTAAAATCACCTCGTGCGGCTTATTATTACAAGTAAACTGAAAGGACGATCCTCTGTTCTTTGGCCCCTTAATTTTGAAATTAAATTTGATACGAAGTGACAACTTAACGCGAGACATCAATCGTAAAAAATCTCCAAACTGAGTCGATTATTAGTTTGTGAGAAGACTATATTTATTAACATATGAACATAATCTGAACATTTATACGTGGAAAGTTTCACGATCAGATAATTGAAAGAATTGTACGATTGTTAACAATAAATTTGAACTTGCGAGGGAACTTTGGTGATCTGAAAATTTCGATTTTTTCGAAACGAAGATTTGTAAGGGAACTTTAAGGAGAAGTAATTTTGTTTTCTGCTTCATTCCCGTGAATGGAAATAGGTGCCATGCCCATATCTCCAAAATTACAAGTAGACAAACAATTATTAAATTATCTGACCAACATTGAAGCCAATCAAATTAGCTTCTCATTAGAAACAACAATATCCATTCGTTAATGAAACCTTCAGTCGACAGAGCAGTTCACGTCGCAGTAATTATAGTACAATGATCATATTGAAATGCTGATCAAAGACTTTGCCAACAGAAACACACGACAGAACGATTATACAGTACAATAAAATTACAAAAGTTTAGTAAAATTTACACTAATTTGCTTCTGATCTCTCAGAAATAAATCGTTCCACTTGAGAATTTCCTACGTTCGATGTCTCGTTATAAACCACGTAGACGTCGTCGAGTTCAGTTCTAAAAAACAGACTCCAGGAGATGCTCCTCATTTTTCGCTCGCCGTCTTTTTACGTTCGAACCCTATTTCCGTTAAAGTTCTCGAAAACTTCTGACGAGATCGCATCAGTTGTTGATTAGTTGTTGACGAATCGAACGGTCTCGAAATTCATTTGGAGAGCCTTTCCAATCCGAGTGCATGTCGCATGAGAACGGAAGAGTCGCTGCGGTTGGGATTGGACGGGGAAGGGAGGGGAAAAAGATTTCAGCCGAGGAAACGATTTTCAGGGCAAAACGCAGTATGCATACGCAGCCGAGATACGTTATCCGACTGCTTTTTCAGCGTCTGGGAAAGCACTCGGCGCGCCACGGGCCACGGCCGCAAGACTAGGCAGATTTATTTCCAGCGGTGGCTGCTTGGAAAGCGTGTATGTGGCCACGACCGATAAGGATGGTCGAAAGAAACCGCACAGACCGCCTTTTCGCGCGTCCTTCCGTCGTTTCTCTCTCTCTCTCTCTCTCTCTCTCTCCATTTCTTTCCTCTGTATCTTTTCATCTTTCGTCTTGTCCTGTTGAATACTTACACCCATAAACGAGCAATTTTTATTCAATTTCGGGGAAATCAACCCTTTAAGTACTATTACTGGGATCATTGGCTATATTTAGAATTCATTTAAACATTTTATATTTTCTCCGATAGAGATTGATGGTAAAATTAAGTCAAAATCTGAGGAATGTGAAACATATATTTTCTTTGGATATTCAGTGTTGCCGCAGTCGTTTACTTGCACTACTTATTCTTGCACTTCGTGATACTTTGATAGTTTGAGTTGTCAATACTAAAATTATTACTTGTTGTATCGTTTGTATATTATTAAATTGCTGATCGGTCATATTTCAATCGTTTTACACGCACTTTCGTATAACAATGATAATAGATCATTAATTATTTAACCATTAAAAACGAAATTCTTTTCAACCGACAGACTCGTAATTAATAATGTAGAGAATGTCGTGAATCTGCAACGATACGCATGTAAGAATTTAAATATTGTACTATATCAAAAATATAATAAATTGTAATTATTACAATTACAAGTCATTTACTTGTACTACTTGTTCTTGCACTTCGTGATACTTTGATAGTTTGAGTTGTCAATACTAGAATTATTACTTGTTGTATCGTTTGTATATTATTAAATTGCTCATCAGTCATATTTCAATCGTTTTACACGCACTTTCGTATAACAATGATAATAGATCATTAATTATTTAACCATTAAAAACGAAATTCTTTTCAACGGACTCGTAATTAATAATGTCGTGAATCTGCAACGACACGCATGTAAGGATTTAAATATTGTACTATATCAAAAATATAATAAATTATAATTATTACAATTATCAATATATTACAAGATTTATAAAATAAAATATATTAATATACCGTGAATGCAACAAATCACCTTTTAGAATATAAATTCAATGATAGAAATGATTAACAAGATTCGAGAAATAAAATACCGTCTCACATCGTTTAATCATGGATAATTTCACCATTAACGGCATCGTTCGGAATATAATTCAGAGACGAGAAGGATCGAGCGAGAGGATTCAGAAAGAACGAAATGAATGATTTGAAATACTTCGATCGTCGATAGTTTCAACTGTTAACAACTTCCTCCCGAGGTGAAAACGATCCGAGCGCGTGCTTCGAACTAAAACGACCGGTCGAACTGAAAAACAAAATGATCCTTCCGCGAACGATCGTGACTCCGACCGAGACGGCCAGTTTTTCATCGGTGAGAACAGTAATGCAATGTGAAAACGATCGTTTAAATCAATTTGCCAAGCCATCGACAGAGCCGGCCGTCGAACCAGACTTTTCGACCAGAGTTCTTCACGCAGGATAATCAATGATTGAGCTAGAATTCCCTCCTCCTCCCCTTTTTTTTTCTTTTCTTTCCATCCAACGATGAGTTTTGTCAGCGTTTCACCTTGTTGCTTTTCACGGGCCATTCGGATCGTTCCGATCGCGCTATCGTGACTTCGTTCGAGAGTTTAAACGCGGATGAATAAGCCGCTCGTAATATCGAAGGAATATTCAAACGGGGACGTTTTAATTATTACCCATTCATCGGGGCGTTTCTGCTGCGAATGCGATATCGACGCGTAATTTATTTGCCCGCGTTTCGCTCAAGGGAGAAAGAAAAAGATTCGCTCATCAATCATTCGAATGTTTAGTCGATATCGTCGATTTCTAAAGTAATTAATTTTTAATTTAAATACTTGTTGAACGTCGCGAGAATGACGCATTACTATATAAATATATCGAAAGTTATTATATATGTTCAAAGACGAACAATTCTTAATATTTATTACATGTTTCCCAGTCGGTGTTATTCTAGATTTTTGGTAATTTTAATGAGCATTCAAAGGATTGAGAACCAAGCGACTATTTACCGTATAACAAATAATTTAATCTCTTGAAATTTCATACAATCGTGAAATCTAAATGGAAGATGTAGATAACGAGAATAATAAGTTAAACGAAAGAAACGTCGCGTTGACAAAATTATGAAATGTGTTCAACGTTTCGTAAATTAATCATTTAATCTTCCACGACGAATTTCAATTATTACTTTGCTCGTCGAAAATATTTGCATCCAAGTGATATTCGCGTGTAATTTATTTGTTTCCGTATCTCGTACAAAAGTGAGCGAGAGAGAAAAAGCAGAAGGCCTCGTGCATTAATCACTCGGGTTTTTAAATTATACAAAACATCTATCGCCATTAAACGGCGAAAGGAAATCCCAAGTATAGCCGATCATTCAAGCGGGTGTTCTCCTTTCTCCTTATTGCGGAAAAATCGCGGTGATTAAGTCGCGCTCTCCCGAAAGGCCAGCCAGCGCCTAGACACGCGAATTATTAATGATCGTCTGACAAAATTAATAACACAAGCCCCTCCCGAGTGATATAGCGCCATCCGCTTTGTACCAGCTGTCGTTCCAGCTGAGTGCGCGCGCGCGCGGGGCGGAAAAAAAAAAAATGCTCCTAGCCGCAGGAAATTTCTCTTCGCATCCCCCATTGCAAAACGCGCGCTCTCCTTTAAACGAGTTTTCGTTTCACCGTTAATTATCCTTTCTCTACTCCCCTCCCCCTCCTTATCCTCGACTAATTTCCCTGCCGAGTTTCTGTTAAATCCATTTGTTGAGGTGCGT